AGTGAGCACACTCTAGATATCCTCTTGGGTAAGTGCCCTATAATCGTTTCATCTTTTTGAATACGTAACTGCATATCTATCAACGATATTGGTAGGCTCTCTAGCACACAACAAGACTTCTCCTATGTTTGGAGTCGATATACTTTTTAGTAAATATGATAGCCACGAATGCAGCTAGGAAGAACAAAGTCATCATGATTGTCTGTAGCTGTAGCCATGCTTCACCAGGTGTTTCTGTTTATTAATTATTATTAATTAATTTTAACCGTCAATAATTTTCAAAAGAATTAAATTTTGTGGGTGTGACACACCACGAAAATAAATTCCAACGAATATTTAAAAGACTAAAATTTGAGGCCACGAAATAAACCCGCTATACGGTAATTCAATCTTCTTGAGTCAAGTAAGCCAATTGTGTAAACTTATTGATCAGATTAATTAAACTTCCAAATGTGCCACACCTTTAAGTGATGGTAAGTTAAAACTTGTTTGAGTTAGTATGATTGGTCAACAAGGTTGTGTTACTTTACAATACGATTGCACTGGTTGTGCTGAGAGATGTGTTACTTTTGAGAGGTCGATTAAGGTACAATGGGCTGAACACAGAATTTAGTTTTCAGAACACAAATTGTTTCCTTTATACTTTTTCTACAATATATAATTTTTTCAATTTTTTTCTCAATACTGAGATGCCATAAACTTTATTAAACTTTTAAAAATGGTTGAAAACTGAGTAAAGAATTTTTGAACATTATGAGAGTGTCTTAATTTTTGGTAATGTGATTGTTTTTATAATATTATTTTCTATTGACGTATGTTCCATCGCTTGGCAAAAGTTCTTCACGTTTTGCAAAATAGGCTGCAATCTCTCATAGAGTTTTCCTCACTTTCAAACATCAGTGTATCACAAAAGCATTTACTGTGTACAAACTTGATTAAATGTTTGCCTTCATTATGCCACGATTGCAAGCTTTAGAGCTTTGTAGAGCCTGCATTCACCAGATGAAACTGCTAAATAAACAATAGTAAGGAAATACATACTGGTG